TGGGTGGATGGGTGGATGGGTGGATGGATGGATGGATGGATGGATGGGTGGATGGGTGGATGGATGGATAGATGGGTGGGTGGATGGATGGATGGGTGTTGGGCGCAGGCGCTCAACATACCATACCCCAGCCGGGACTAAGGACCACGCCAGCTTCCGCAATGCGCTACGTCCCTCTTTAAATTAGCCAACCCGTGCGCACCCCGCGCTCTACTCCGTACTCTGTGGCAACTCCTGATTGGCCACAGCTGGATATAGTAGCCAGAGCCTGCATCCCATTCCCGCCCTGCTTCCTTGTGGCAGCCTGTGATTGGTCACGGCCAAATATATAAACCAGAGCCCGCGTAAATAAACGAGCAGTTAACTGTCGTCCACAAGAGCGTCTCCTGTCTCCTGTTTCATTGGGGCTGCGCCGGTCAGATGGGTGGGTGGATGGGTGGATGGATGGGTGGGTGGATGGATAGATGGGTGGGTGGATGGATGGATGGATGGGTGGGTGGATGGATGGGTGGGTGGGTGGATGGATGGATGGATGGATGGATGGGTGGGTGGATGGATGGATGGGTGGGTGGATGGGTGGATGGATGGATGGATGGATGGATGGATGGATGGGTGGGTGGATGGGTGGATGGATGGGTGGGTGGATGGATAGATGGGTGGGTGGATGGATGGATGGATGGGTGGGTGGATGGATGGATGGGTGGGTGGATGGATGGATGGATGGGTGGGTGGATGGATGGATGGGTGGGTGGATGGGTGGATGGATGGATGGATGGATGGATGGATGGGTGGATGGATGGATGGATGGATGGATGGGTGGGTGGGTGGATGGATGGATGGGTGAATGGGTGGATGGATGGATGGATGGGTGGATGGATGGATGGATGGGTGGATGGATGGTGGATGGATGGGTGGGTGGGTGGATGGATGGGTGGATGGATAGATGGGTGGATGGGTGGATGGATGATGGATAAATAGATGATGCATGGGTGGATATGTTATTTCCTCCATCTTCTCTGGAAATAGCTATGCAAAAGGAGAACTATGAAAAGGAAATGAGGGTAGCTGGAGAGTGTTCCCGTCTTGTTCACGCCGTCCCCCCATCCTTTCCTTTCTGCCCTCCCACATCCCACCTGGGCATTCGGGGCTCTGGGTTAAACCTGCGGCACCTTTCTCCTCTAACTTCCCAGACACATCTCTCCTACGTGCCAGGCACAACATGGAGCTCCAAAGAGAGACAAAACGGGCCGGCTCGGGGAGGCACAGAGCTCTCAGGAAGCCCAACAGTGAGAAAACTCCTACTCACAACCCAGCACAAAGGTCCCCTAACTCTAGGACATAAGTCCTGTGTTCACCCCAGGGCCCCCCAGGTCACACAGGACTGGAGCGACTCGTCCTGGAGCTCAAGAACACTTTGAGGGCCAGGCCCAGGTGCAGAGGGTCACGACCGAGGCTGGAGGGCAGAGATGAGCGTGACGGGAGCTCACCCTGCAGGCTTCGGCTAGAGGCACGCAGAGGTGCGGGCCCCCCAGGCCTCTCCGCTCTCCTGCCAGCCCCTGTGAAACTATTAGGGGCACCTTGGCTCCCACCCTGACTGGGGCCCCTCAGCTCTTAGGGCTCCTTCCTCATGCCCTCGAAGCCCAAAACAATGCCAGGCAACTCTACGTAAATCCAAGATGGTCACAGAGAGGCCAGCGTGGCTGGAGAGGGGCCTGGGCCCTCTCAGGAGTCCTGTGGTCAATCCCACCACACTGGGGACACAGAAAGGGAAGACAGGCGCCACGGACAGACGGCTGTGCCCTGGAAACAGCCCTCAGTGACCCCAGTGGGCCCTGCGGTCTGAGTGGCCCACCACACGTGGCCACCAGGCCAGAGAGACCGACTGTGGCTCCTGGGGGGCTTCCTCCTAGAGGGGGGCCTGAAGGCCAAAGGGCAGCTGTCTCTTGCACCTCAAGGCAGGGCTGTGTCCCCAGACTCCAAAGAAGGACTGTGTCACAGAACCCCAAGACAAAATCAGGTGTCCTCAGAGCCTCAGGCCCTGTGTCACTCCAAGATCCGGCTCCTCACACCCCGGGGAAGGTGGGTACCAGCACTATCGCCCTCCCACCCCCCAGGCATCCCCAGGGAAGCCCAGAAGCCACCACAGGGCGAGGGCCACGTTTCTGTCCCTCACCCAACCGCATTCACATGGAGATTTGAATACATTTCCTGCGCCAGCTGGGGAAATACAAATCTACCCCTCCTCACCCCGACACACACCCGACCCAGGGCCTCGACAGGCCCTCCCAGCAGAGAAAGTACGGTCCTTCTGGGCTCCCAAAGCCCAGGGCCTACTCTGGGAACTGAGGCTGTGCCTCAGTGTCCCCTCTGGGATGGGTGTGGAGCAGAAGCCCAGCAGCTCGAAGCTGCAACCTCCCCCTGGAACCCCAAACCCCAGACCCAGGCAGGAAGCCAGGGGGAGGGAAGACGGAGGGGAAGGAAGGGGCCTGGGCTGGAGGAGGAGGACGAGGCGGAGGCCATGTGAGGGAGCCGATGGAAGGCCCTCCCCCACGGCCCGAATCTGGGGCTCACAGGAGGCAGGCGCCTCAGGCACCCTGTTGGCTGCTTAGGGCACTGCTAGTCACCCCCAGGGCCGCCAAGATTGTCCCCACGGCCAGCCTGGGGGCTGGGAGGGTTACTCCACAGTTTGCCTGTTCTTGACCTACATCAGGGCAGACTCACGGCCATCAGGGCATCCGAGAGACCTGTTGTTTTGGGGAGTCCCTCTTGACTCGCACAGGGTAGCACCCCAGGGCCCCCTCCAGGCCCAGCCTGCTGGAGGTCCACCCCTCACGGCCTCGGCCTCCTCCTGTGCCACCCGCCCCGGCCGGGCCCCCCACCACCCGGCCCGGGCCCTCACCTGGGACATCTGTGGGCGCAGGTTGACCTCGCGCAGGTTGATGGCATGGGGCAGCAGGTTGTTGAGCAGCTGGCACAGGAGGACGCCATCGCGGAGGGCCTGCGCCAGCTCGCACACCTGAGCCCCCTCCCAGGTCACGCGGTGGCTGGGCGGCAGCACCCGACACTGAATAAGCCAGTGAGTGCACTGTCGCCACAGCTCCATGGCCACCGGCCTGCAACTCCGGCGGCCTCCACCGCCACCCACCCGCCCGCGCGCCCGCCTGGGGAGCGACAGCTAGCTACCACTTCCTCTTCTGCGACTGTAACTGTCGCCCAGAAAGGGGGTGGAGGAGGAGGAGCTGTGGGGTGCAGGGGGAGCACCTGCAGCCCTGTCCCGCCCCCATGGCCTCCACGCAGGACAGGGCCGCCCTGTCTCTTCCCACTCTGGAGCTGGGGACCAGAGGGCGACAGGCCAGCCGGTCTGCAAGGCGACCCACCAGGATCCGCTCATGTGTCATTTCTCTCCTTCTCCTGGGCCTCCTCCAGCCTGCTCAGGCCCCATCATCTCCAGCCTGGTGCCCTGACTCTGGCCCTGGGCCCTCACAGTGCATGCTCCCCGCAGCGCCAGGGGGCGCCCGAGAGCACCCGAGTTCCTCTACCAGCAAGCAGCCTGGGCTCATTTTCCTCCAGACAAACGCGCCAGCCTCCTTCGAGGCCCACAAGGCCCTGGACGACCAGCGTCCCTGCATCCCCTCCTCATTCCCTCAGCTCCGGCCACCCAGGTCTTCCTGCTGCTCCTGTGCTGTGCCAGGTGTGATCTTACCCCAGGACCTTTGCACTGGCTATGCCCTCTACCTTAAGCAACTTTATGGCCAGTCCCCTTACCTTCTAACAACTTTGTTCACTCGTTCTCTTTTCACAAGGTCTCCCCAAGCCTCCCCATTCCAAATCACAGCTTTTCCCCATGACCCCCCCCCACCTTTTCTATATCCCTCCATTAAACGCTTATACAGGAGACCTATGTTTCTGTGGCTTCCACATCCTTGGATTCAACCAGTCACAGTTCAAAAATATTCAGAAAAAAGAATTGTGTGCATACTATGTACAGACCACTGTATAGGCAAATACTACACTGCTTATGCAAGAGACATGAGCGGCCGCAGAGTCTGGAACCTTCAGGGATCCTGAAATTACACCACCCCAGTATGAAGGATTGAAGAATGACTGCTTCCCCCCCCCCAGGACTGGGGACTGAACCACAGGACCTTTGCATTAACTACATTTCCACTAAGCTACATTTCCAGCCTGTGTTCTATTGTTTTCTTTTCTTTTTTTCTTTTCGTGTTGGTTACAACCTTGAGCTTGCCAGCAAGGCACTGTGCCGCTGAGCTATATCCCTAGCCCCCTCCTTTATTTTATTTTATAATTATTGATTGATTGTCTTACTGTCTTTTTGACACTGGGTCTTGCTCTGCAGTTGTCTGTCCTTGAGCTCACTTTGTAGTACAAGCTGGTCTCAGACTCGCAGTGATCCTCCTGCCTCAGCCTCCCGAGTGCTGGCCATCACTCCGGGCTTTTATATTGCATTTTGAGGCAGGGTCTAAGTGACTAAGTGGCTGGGGTGCCAGGCAAGCAGCAGCTCACCAGGTCGTACTTTATCCTCTCTTCAGGAATCTGTGTCTGTGCTTTGTTTTCTGCTGATCCCCCCCCCCAGCCCTTGGCACGCACATGGGGCTCCATAAATATTTTTTGAACGAATAAATAAGTGAAAACTGCATTGATGCCCCTCTGGCATCGATCCCAGCTCCGTCCATTTTCGGCCATGACCGTGGCCACCACCCAAATGCAAGCCGCCGTCCTCGCCATCGACCGTGCTGCTGTTTTTCATGGATGCACTAACATTTACTCCTTCCTAGTGCCGCACAGGCGGCCCCTCCCCGCACTGTACCCCGCCGCAAGCTGTAGGTCGCCCCTCAGCTGACCCAGTTTCCCGCAGCACTTTTTCGAAACCACTAGACGGCGCTGGACCCCTCACTGCATAGACGGGAGACCGGAGCCTCCTACCGACCTGGAGTCCCTTCCCTATCGGGAGAGGCAGGCGGAAGCGGTGGGGAGCTAGTCAGCCTGGAAACACCCAGTTTTGCAATCCTGGAGGCACCCCAGCTTTTCCGTTCCCGAGCGCCTCGGCTTGCTGCTGGCCTTCAGTTTCCTCGTCTATGAAATGGTGACGATTCACCTCGCTGCGCTCGGAGTTAGAGCGCAGATCACGGTGAGCTCGCCCTGATGCGATGGAGGGGCCCAGACAGTGTGTGCATGTGTGTGTGTGTGTGTGTGTGTGTGTGAAAATAGTGCCCACCTCCCACAGGGCGGATCAGCAAGCAACACGGTCTCGGTACAGAGTAATCACTCAGTAAAACCTGCTTTGCTGACGGTTACAATCCCTCCCCTTGGAAGCCTCGTGTTTTCCCACACGTCTCTCCACAAAACCTCCTTTCCAGGAAGCCCAGCCTGACCGCACGGAGGAAGTGTAGCCTCCCTGCGTCACAGCCCGGAACCCCGGCCCAGATGCTCGGGGACCAGCCCCGGCTGCACGGCCGAGCTGTGCAGGTGCGAACATCACTGGAATTTCTCACGCAGCCGCCGAGAGCGCTGAGTGGGCGTGGCCAGCCAGAGGGGGCGGAGCATGTTATAAGGGGGCGGAGCCATGCCTGGGGGGAAAAACCGCGGAGTTTCCCAGGGAGGCGGGGTCTGCGAGGAAGACCCGTGCGAAGGGGGCGTGGTTAGTAGAAGCGTTCCGAGGGGGCGGAGCGAGAGCGAGGGGCGGGGCGGGTCCAATAGCGGGGGCGGGATTTTTCAAGGGCGGAGTCTTGGTGGGCGTGGCTCTCAGGTAGGGCAGAACCCAGCTGGGGCGGAGAAAGTGGTCCAGAGCGCGGATCCTTCAGCCTCTTCCTGTCCGCAGCAGCGCTGGAGCCCCGCGGATCTGGCTCGGGTGAGTAGGGGGGGTCCTAGGCAGATCGAAGACGGGGGAATTACTGGGGTGGCGCCAGAGGCTCACAGAGAGGCTCTGAGGGTCCACCCAAGCGATAGAGGACATAGCAAAAGCCAGTGAGTCACCGGGTTGCTGTAGGTCACCTAGGCGCACCCGGGCACGTTCCTCCAAATGCATTTCCTGTGAACACGGAAATCTTCCCGCTTCCTCGTTTGCCTGAGCGATCACCGATCGGTGCCCCTCCCTCGCGTAAAATCGTTCCAACCCTGGGTCCTAGAGATTGCACTCAGATTTCCATTTCGTTGCACCGAGATTAAAATTCAGGGGCCCCCAGTTCATGCGTGGTCTTCCCTCTGCCCTCTCCCCAACCTCCTAGTCCTCCACTCTTATCTCTTTGCTGGTTGTATCCCAGCCACATCAGCTCCTGGAGAATGTAGAGTCTAAAAAGCAAACTCCACACCAGAGTTTGCAGAGGTGCACCTGTAATCCCAGCTACCTAGGAGATCCGGAGCCCCGAGGGTCACAAGTGCAATCCTGGCCCGGGCAGATGCTGCTCAGAGCTGCAGTACCGAGGCCCTGGGTTGAAAGCCCAATGCCAATAACAGGAGAGACAGACAGAGACAGAAACAGAGAGACAGAGACCCTGAGACCAGCTCACCACAGGCCCCTTGCACTTGCTGTTCAGGAGGACTGCTTCTATCCTGAGATCTCAGCTTGCATCGCACCACTTCCTGAAATAGGCCCTCCTGCGCCCTGCAGCTGTCTCCATCCTGGGCACCGATAATTCTCAGACATGATCTTCGTTCACTGTGTTGGTACCCTTACCCATCCGCCTGGGAGCTCTGCAGGGCATCCAGAGTGGGCACGGTATACAGTAGGCACTCAGTGTTTGTTCACAGTGAGACCCAAGAGCCCACCTGTGTCCATGTTGCTCAGGTGATGGTGGCTGCCCCTTTACCCTGCACCTGGGTGTGTACACCCGTGCACCTGTAGGGGGTGGAGCAGGAGTCCTCTCTCCCCTTCCCTGATTCTTTGTAGACCTTTTTCTCCCCCCATCTTTTCTCCCCTGCCCCATCAATCATCCCAAAGGACTCAGAAACGCAAGAATGACAAAGTTGGCAGGCGGCTGACCTGTGCCCACCTGGAGCCTCCCACAGACCAGAGCCTCTCAGCCATCCGCCTCCAGCCCCAGCGAGGAGCCACCAGAGACAGAGGAGCTTGAAAGATGAGGCAGCAGGACCTGGCCCAGCTGACAAACAGGAAGTGCACAGGTATTCAGAACACACCTGGCTTCAGGTATGCAGCACCTGGAGCCAGCTCCCTGCCCAGCTGCCGCCTGAAGAGTTGCCTGGAGCCAACCTGGAAACCTCCTGCGCCTACTTGGCTCACCAGCCTTCTGACTCAGGGAGCTGGAATCCTGGTGGCTGTTTACCTGCCAACCTCACCCCAAATTCACAAGGCCTTGGCAGGTGGGGTGTGAGGAGGAGAAAGAATCAGGCTGCCTTCCCTCCCAGCCGGTTTTGCCCCTGGACACGTGACACACACCAGCACTAGCCTGTAGGGGAATTACCAGTGTGTCCCAGGGCAAATTTGACCTGACGATAATGAAAGGAATCGGCCCAAAATGTGAGAAAAAATTGCAAACACAAAATCGCACCTTTCTCTAAAATGCAACCTTTAAACAAAAAAGATCTTTGTAAAAGAGAAAGAGACTAAGTAAGAGATGGAGGTAGGAGGGGGGAAGAAATGGGAACTTAAAAATTAAGATATGCTCACGTACCAACTTCCCATGATGAATGTAATTGTTACGTAGTAATAAAAATAAAAATTTAAAAAGTATAGCTCAGCAGCAGAGCACCTGCATGGCACTAGGTGCCAGTGTAACGGGGTAAGTCTTCGTATCCTGAGGTCCTCCGCTAGATTGCTCGGAAGCTGTGCGTGTTTGTAAACTGAATTCCCCTCCCTGGCTTGTTGCTTTGCCTGAGAACTGACTGCCTCCGCAGTGCTGGCAGGGTGTGCTCATTAACACCTCGCACAACACTGCAGCACAGGAACCCCGTCCACGTCCGCCCGGTTTAGTTTCCACCTGGCACTCTGACACGTAATCCATCGACCAGCTAGTGCTAGCTTAGTTGCTGGTTCTGCTGCCAGGCTGTGCCCCCTAGGTACCCCGAGGGGTAGGCTCGGTTTCATGAGTTCAGTGTCCACTAAGCATTGTGATGTTTTAGCGTTTCTAAAGACAGTGTTCTTGCAAGAAGCCCCCAGGTGTATGAGTGTTTCTGTGGAACTCTGGAGGGCTAAATTCAAGTTGCTTGTACTTTATTTATAAATAAGTTACTCATAGATTTCACAGATGGACTTCTATGCAATAAATATGTATTTATATAGCATTATATACTCTGTAACATTTATATAAATATGATACTATGTATTCAGTATAATACTGTTACATGTGAATTATATAAAACATATGTGTAACATGTTATAGTATATCTAATGATGTAGATATAAGATACAAAATGTAAATACACATATGCAGTATTATAAAATATATACTTTATACTGTATATAATGCATGTGTATTAAACATTAAACATTCTGTTTAATTACAATACATAGTATAATATATAGCATAATGTCTACATAATACCTAATATAGTATGTACATATAATACATAATATATGTATTGATCAAATCTATACTACTTATAATTCATTTTTACATTATGTATAAAGATATGTGTAAGTATATATTGTTTATTTCTAAATAGAATACAAGAAATTTAAGTTACTCAGGCCAGACTTTATATATAATATATGCATAATTTTTGTTTGTACATATCTATTTATGAATAATTTTACTTAATTTATTTATGCACAAAGGTACCTCATCTGAATGCTGGGGGTGTAGCTCAGTGGTTGTGCACATAACATCCTCGAGGCCCTGGGTTCAACCCCCAGCAGCCTGGTTAGTTTAGAGTAATTTATGTCCCATGCTTTATGTTACGTTCATTTCCCTACCTCAGCATACAGCTGCATGTTAAGGTGTGAATAACAGGCAGGCTGCCACATCCACAATGAGGAGGCAGAGAGGAGGAGCTGACCCAGCCATGCAGGGAACAGGCTGATTGTTCCCATTTTACAGATGGGGAAGACCAAGTCCTGTTGAAAGTACACAGACCCCAACCTCGGGCCCCACAGAGCTCAGTGCAAGTGTCACAGGATGGAGAAGACCTCACCCACCAACCCTGGTACCACGGTGCCCTGTCACGCCAGGTATGATCCCACCCGCCCCACCTGGCCAGGAGACTCCTGGGTCCTGCCTAAGGGACTCAGGGTGGGCACCTATTGAGACAGGTGGCTAGGGGACCGCAGACTGTCAAAGCTTGGCTGGCTGGCGGTTGTCAGTTTCAGTGATTGCTTTCTTGGAACATTCTAGCTGGCAGTGGAGACTGACCAGGTCCAGATGCCCCCAAAGGGTCCTTGAGTCTTGCCTATTTCTTCCTCTGAGCTCTGTCTCTCTCCAGGCAACCCCCTCCGGTTCCCCAGTCTCACTTCCAAATCAAGGGTCACGTCCTCCAAGTCCTGGGTCCCTGACAGCCAATGAAGTCACGGGAGGCAGTATAGCCTGTTGTTCAAATCCCATACCCTCCAGCCAGGTATCTGGGTTCAAATCCCAGCCCCATGACTTACATTGTGTGTGATTTTAGGCAAGGCATTTGACCTCCCTGGGCCTCAGTGTCCCCATCTTTTAAAGGGGCCAATAATTCCTCCTACTAGTCTTGTCATAAGGGTCTGTGGAGTTCACACCTTTAACATTGGTGCGGCCTCGAGTAAGAGTGGTACATTTGTCTCCGAACAAGATTGCTTGCAAAGTTTTATAAAGAGAGGGTAGGGATTAGAGGGACACGCTTCCATACAAGCCCAGGTCATCAGTCAGGGTGGACACTGCATCGGACAGCATTAGCTAGTGGCTATGACAAGCAATACGAAGATGCCACCAGCTGAACACAACCATCATTCGTGAACTTGTTCCTGTCACAGCCCAAAGAGGCTGAGGAATGGGGACAAGAACCTTCATAACCCAGTCAGGTGTCCAAACCGACTTGACTCCACCATCCCACAGGGTTCTCGGGATGCCCAGTCCACAGAGTCTGCAGGATTGTAGGACAGGTTCAAGGTGCAGGCGTGAGCACTGGCCACAAAATCGCAGCCCCCCAATCCTATTGGCCAGATATGGTCACGTGATAATGCTAACTTGCAAGGAATCCTGGGAAGTGTAGTCCACATGGGTGACCGCATGACAACGGTAAACAGTTTGTTGCAAAACTAATCTGCCTGTCTCAGGAGTTTTACTGGAGAGGCTTTTATTGGGCCTTGGTGGGAAGGAGTTACCGTTAACAGCCAGGGTCACCCTCAAGTCTCTGTCACCCATCCTCTATTCTCAGAAGGCTGAAGCTCTTCTTCTCCAAGATGGTGACTTCCTGGTTCGTACCTCTGGGTCCCGTGGGGACCACCCTGTGATCTCATGCCGCTGGCGGGGATCTGCTCTACATTTTGAGGTGTTCTGTGTGACCCTGCGACCCCGGCCAGGCCGGCCTGCAGCACTCTTTCAGCTGGAGGATGAGCGATTCACAAGCGTGCCAGCACTGGTGCACAGTTATGTGTCCGGCCGTCGCCCACTGTCCCACGCCACAGGGGCTGTGGCCTCCAGGCCTGTGATCCGGCAGGGGCCTCTGCAGCGCAGCTTCAGCGAGGATGCTCTTACGGACAGCCCGGTTCAGACAGCGTCTCTCAGGTACTCACAGCCTGTCTACCTCTTTGATGATACCCAGCGCCCCTTGCATTTCTGCACGTCACTGTGGGGAGGGGCCATCCCCACGAAAGGTACTGTTGGACAGCAGGCCTGGCCCTCCCTTCCAGATGCCAGTAAAACCCCACCCTTCCCTCCTGGCTAGTTGTGATACCTAAAAATGCACCTTGCAAGAGTCCACTGGAAGGGAATGGCCTGGGGTGGTTGAGAGCCACACGCCTGGGGTTTCCCAGGCACTGGCCGGGCTGACCTTGCCAGGCTGGGCCAGCAGTTCTTCCCATCTTGGTCCCTCAGGGCTAGGAAGTGGAGCATCAGTCAGCCTGCAGACTTGGAGCACCTGGGGCAGGCCACAGAAGCCCGCTCTGGACCAGGTGAGCACCTACTGGGGCAGCACGTGACTCAGAGGTTGGCTCCAGCACCCACCGGTTACACGATCTTGAGTCAGTGATTTCATGTGCTGGAGGCTCAACTTCTTTTTCATTTGTTTATTTGGTTGGTTGGTTGTTGGTTTTTTCATTTGTTGGTTTTTTGAGACAGGGTCTTGTTATCCAATGCAGGCTGGCCTTGAATTCACAGCAACCCTCCTGCCTCAGCCTCCCGAATGCAAAGACTACAGGCATGCACCATCACACTTGAATTTGAGACTCAAATTCTTGCTCAAGAGAACAGAGATGATAACCAGGCATGACGGTGCATTCCCGTAATCCCAGCACTCAGGATACTGAGGCAGGCACATCTTAGCAAGTTCAAGACCACCCTGGGCTACACAGTGAGCTCAAGGCCAGCCTGAACCACACAGAACTACACCCAACCAACCAATGGACTGATTTACCAACCACACGTTCCATAGAATTATACACTCTAGATTCTGGCTGTGAACACCTTCGCCCAGGAGATGTCCCTTGGGCACTGGGCACTTGGAGAACCAGCTTACAGTATGTTGTGGGGGATCCAGAGGCCTCAGGAAGCTATTTCTGACAAAGCCCTATGACTGACTGCATGAAGCTTTGGGGGGACATCTAGATACAAGCCATAACAGTCAGGAACGCTGCTAGTGTCTATATTATTAAGATTTCATTAAATGTATACATCACTTTTGGAAGCACAACCGTTTTGATAATATTTTCCAGGAACAGGGGATGTCTTTCCATTTTTCTAATGTCGTCCACCTATTTTCAGAGTAGTGTAGTTTTTGTTATAGAGGCATTTCACTTCCCTGCTTAGGTTAATTCCAAAGTATTTTTTAAAAATTTTTGAGCTACTGGGGTTCTCAGTGGATCACTGTTGGTATATTCACCTTGAGACCATAATACTAAGCAAAATAAATTAGATACAGATGGGGAAACAGTGCACCGTTTATTTTATATGAGACTCCCAAAGTATAAATAAAGAACAAAACAGGGGCAGAGGACAGGAAACAGAGACTATAACATCTGGTAGATGGGAAGAGAATTTTGGGGCCGGAGGAAGACAGAAATGGAGCAGGAAGAGGAAGTAAAAATGATCAAAATGCAACGAGGGACTGGGGATTTAGCTCAGCGGCATACGCACCTGCCTTGCAAGCAGGCAGTCCTGAGTTCGATCCCTGGTACCGGTAAAACAAAACAAAACAAAAAATCTAAAATGCAATGCGTATATGTACCAATTCCACATGATAAATGTAGCTAGTATATGCCACAGACATGACTTTGTAAAATTCACAAAGCCACAGCAGTGTTAAAATTCGTTTTCAAACTGGTACTTGAATAGCATTTATATGGATGAAGCTGCTCAGGTTCAAAACTGTGTGGAAACGGGCCAGGAAACCCCGTTATCAGGTGATGATACGGGCTGGCAACCTCTCACCCATCCTCACCCAACCCAGCTGTCTATTCTGTGGGCCCCCAGGAGCCTCCACCACTACGCGCCCACCTTCCCTGCTCCGGATGGGCAGTGACCCGGCGTTGCTGAGGGAACCCGCTCCCTTGGGGGTCACCGCTGACCGCCTCAGCGCCTCTGATGGGCAACTTCATGCCAAGGCACCAACCAAGCCCCCCCGGACACCCTCACTGACGCTTCCTGAGGCCTCTGGACCCCCCACAACGTACTGTGAGCTGGTTCCCCGAGTGCCCAGCACCCAAGGGACAGCTCCTGGCCAAAGGTGTTCACAGCCAGAGGCCCTGTGGTGGGAGGCTGAAGAGGAGGAAGCGGAGGAGGACAGGTGTTTTGTAAGACCACAGGGCGAGGTCACTTTTTGCCCTCGCGACAACCCCTCCTGCCTGCTGGGCCCGCAGAATCGGCCCCTGGACCCCAAGGTCCTGCACACTCTCCGCGGCTTGCTCCTGGAGCACCACGCTGGGAGCACCGCCCTCCACCTGCTGTTGGTGGACTGCCAGGTGGGTCGCCTGCCCCATCTTTCCTCCCCAGGGCTGGGGCTACCACCTGTGCGGGGGATTCTGGTCCCCTGATCTCCCCGTGGCCTCTTGCAGGCTGCAGGCGTTCTGGGAGTGACCAAGGCTCAGCGAATGGCCATGGGGGTCTCCTCTGGCCTAGAGCTGCTCACTCTTCCCCATGGACATGGTTTGAGGTTGGAACTGCTGGAGAGGTGAGCCCGCAGCCTGGGACCTGCGTTGGGGGCGGGGGGTGAGTCCCCCATACACCCCAAACTTCTCTCCGTTCCTGGCCACCCGGGAGGGGAGGAAGGGGCCTGGCAGTGACACCTCTCCACCGCCCCCAGACCCTTGCCCTCCACCTCTGCAGGCTGGAGACCCTGGCGCTGGCTGGGGCGCTGGCTGTCTTGGGGTGCGCAGGGCCGCTGGAGGAGCGCACGGCCGCGCTGAGGGGCCTCGTGGAGCTGGCGCTGGAGCTGCGGCCCGGGGCGACAGGGGACCTGGCCGGGCTGGCCGCGGTCATGGGCGCTCTGCTTCTACCCCAGGTGCGTGGGGAACGGGGGCGAGGCAGGGGCAGGGGTGCAGAGCGGAGAGGAGGAGGCAGCCTGGCATGTTTGCTCCCCAGGTGTCGCGCTTGGAGTGCACGTGGCGCCAGTTCCGACGGAGCCACACGGAGGCCGCGCTGGCCTTCGAGCAGGAGCTGAAGCCGCTGATGCGCGCTCTGGATGAAGGCTCAGGTGAGGGGAGGACTGGGGTTTCGCCTGCCCGGAGCCCCAATCCGCAAAGGGAATCTGGGTCCGGTTCCAACCACGCCCTCCTTGGGCCCCGCCCCTCCGTCCTAAGCTTCTTTAGCTCCACCTCTCTCCCGCCTCGGCCCTAAACTCCGCCTGGCCCGAAACTGCAACGCCTCTGGTTCCGCTGAGCGCTGCACCAGGCCTCCGCCTGAGGCCCTTCCACGGCCTCCCATTGGAGCCCTTTGGGTCCTAGGCCCCGCCCCCTGAGCACCCATGCCCCGCCCCCGCTCCCAAAGCCCCGCCTTCCGCCGGCTCCGCGCGCGCCCCACCCTTCCTGCGTCCCTAAGTGTCCTGGGTCCGGTGCCGGCCCCAGACGCGATCGCCTCCCTTCCAGGCCCCTGCGAGCCCGGCGAGGTGGCGCTGCCGCACGTGGCGCCCGCGGCGCGCCTGCTGGAGGGCGAGGGCCCGGAGGAGGGGCCGCCGGAGGAGCGCTGCGAGCGGCTGCTGCGCACCCTGCAGGGGGCGCGTCGCATGGCGTCCGACGCCCCCAAGTTCCGCCGGGCGGCTGCTCTGCGCTTGCGAGGTGAGGGTGCAGCCACGCCTAGCGGCGGTCCCAGGAGGGTGTCTTGGCTGAGTGTCCCTGGATCCCATTCAAGTGGGGAGGCGCCATCCCCAGGGAGGGGCACCCTGTACCCCCCAACCGCAAGCTGCGGCCCCAGTAAGTGTGCAGGGAAACCCTTGCATTCCTAAAAGGGCGGCCCCAACTCTCGGAGCCACATCCACGGGAGCCACTTCCACCCTCCCACCTGGGACGACCCCGCCCCCCCAGAATGCCCAGCTCCCCCAAATGACTCAGTCCTTCAACTCAAGGGAGCTGGACTGGAGAGCCCCACCTCATCTCCGCAGCCACGCCTTCCGGGTGACCTTTGCACTTTTTGCCTCGGAAGTGGCCCTTCCTACCCCAGTGGCACCCTCTGAACTCACACCTTACCTCCAGGTGGAGCTCCGCGCATCCCACACCCCCTCGTGCCCCTGCTGAGGCTGCCACCATCCAAAGACCTTTCTGTCACCCCAGTCTGGTCCTGCCCCCTCCAGGGGCCCCCGACATCCCGCAGTGGAGTCCCACTTGGCCCCTCCTAGGTCAAAGTCCCCAGGAAAAAGACAGGGCAGGGAGTGGCCTCGCCCCGCCCCAGCCCACTGACCCTGTTCCCCAGGATTCAGGCCTAATCCGGAGCTGAGGGAGGCGCTGACCACCGGCTTCCTGCAGAGGCTGCTCTGGGGAAGTCAGGGCGCCAGGGCACCGAGAGAGGAGCGTTTCCAGAAGTTCCATCGTGTCCTCAGCATGCTGTCCCAGCGTCTGGAGCCTGGCCACTGAGACGGGCACAGGCACCCAGGTGCCCCACGCTGCCCTGCCGGGGACTACCCAGAGCCCGGCACCCTAGGGGGCTGAGACAGGAGGATCAGAAACTGGAGCCCAGCCTGGCAATCCAGAGACCCTGCCTCCAAAAATAAAAAGGGCTGGGGAAGGAGCTCAGAGTGAAGGCCCTGGGTTCCATCTCCAGTACTAGAAATATCTCAGAAGTCTGCCCCCTGAAATTACGCAGATTCCAGGAATGGGGCTGTCACATCCCCCTCATCCCACCCACCGCGAGACTGACTCGGGTATCCAACATGTGTGCGCACACACACACGCACACACACAGCTAGGACACAGAAAGAATGCACTTTCACAAACCAGCACCCTCAAACTCAAAGCCAACTCCCCAACAGGGCAGGGCTTGCCCAAGGTCACCCCCTTCCTCAGTTCTGAGGGTGATGTGGAGGATCCCACTCCAGAACTGATCTAAATCCCTGCAAAGGCACAGAACGCCAGGAACTTTATATAATTTTTTTAATATATATATAAAACAAAACGGTCCAAGCCGAGCGGCAGGAATATCCCAAACACGAGTATGTACATCGGTGCTGGAAGGCACAGCGGGTCCACTGGGGGAGCAGGTGGGACGGGAGGGGGCACAAGGTTACACAGGTCTCAGCTGAAGCCAGGGGGGCAGAAATAAAGTGCATAAGTCCCGGGGCCCCCCGTGGCCCAGAAGCAGCAGCCGACAGCCCCCCACTTCCGCCTGGGCAGGGCTCAGTTGAGCGTGACCCGGAGGTACGAGGTGGGCACGTAACCCTCTCCGCCCTGCTTGCGCCGAACCCGGGTCCAGCCGTCTCCTTTGTCCTCCTCCATCAGGCTGAGGTCCTCACCCTCGGCCATGGAGATGGTGCCCTCGCTGGACCCTGTGGGGGGGACACAGATCCTGGTCTGAGATACTCCCCGAGCAGCTGCAGGGCTGCCTCCGCACCCCACCCGAGGTGTCCTCACCTTCAAAGTGGTAGATGGCCACGCACTGGCCTATGGGGGACGTGGGCTCCTCAAAATCTTCATCAAACTCTGTGTAGATGGGGGTGTCCTGGCCCTCCTCCGAGGGGGGCTCTTCGGAGCTGCTTGGTGGTGGGGGAAGAGACCACAGCTAAGAGACAGTCTCCCCGGGTCCCCGAGGCCACCCGTCTGTGTGCCCGGCCACCCGCTCACCTCTCCTTGTTCTCCTGTGACCCACTGTTGCTGCTGCTGCTGTCGGGCGGCGCGCTGGCTGGGGGGTCGGGGGGCCGGCTGTGCCGGTTCAAGCTGTCCCCTCTGTTGCTCAAGACTCGACTCTCGGCTTCGGCCAGCCAGGCCTGGGGACAGACAGGGCTATGACATCAGTTCCGGCCCAGGCCGCCACCAGGTCACCGGCTCTGGACCCAGAGGTTCCCTGAGATCACCCTGCACACCCAGGGCCATGATGGGAAACAGCTGGGGCCCTCCCCGGCCCTGCCGCCGTCCACCAGGTCCCCGCCCACCCGCCTCCCGGGGTGACTCAGCCGGCCGGCCTCTCCAGGGCCTGCCCCTGACCTCATACTTCTGGACCTCTAACTTCAGCCGCTCAATGTTGCGCAGGGTTTCCGTGATCTGGGGCTCCAGGCTGGCCGGGTCCCCCATCTGGGGGGTCTTCTCATAGACATCCTTCATCTTCTTTAAAGCTTCCCTGCAACAAGACAGACACAGATAAGCAAGCTCCGTCCTAGGTGATGAATGAAATCAGACCCGGGGAGGCCGGGGAGCTGATGCATGCTTATAGTCCTAGCACCCTTGGGAGGCTGAGGCAGGAGAATCGTAAGCAGGAGTCCAGCCCGGGCAATTCAGAGAGATCCTTTTTCAACACTTTTTTAAAAACACTGTTAGTAAGGGCTGCGGTTGTACAAAGGTCCTGGGTTCCATACCTCCTCAGTACTGCAAAGGAAAAAAAAGAGAACTTAAATGTGAGAGCCAGAGCAGGTGTGGTGGTGCACACCTGTAATGCTAGCACTTGGGAGGCTGAGGCAGGAAGATCTCCAGTTCACAGTTAGCCTGTGTTACATAGTGAATTAAAAAAAAAAACAAAAACCTGATCGCAGGCCGGGTATATAGCTCAGCAGCACAACCCCTGAGTTTGATTCCAAATACAAAAAAAAAAAAAAAAAAGGAAGAAAGAAAAACCTTATTTCCCCTCCCCTACAAAAAATGGCAGCCAGGTGCTGTGGTGCACAAAGCCAGGCTGGGGCAACATAATGAAACCTCTATCTTGAAACCCGAGCCCTAACCAGTACTAGGGCCTAACTGGCTGGGTCTGATGGCAGTTCAGCATTTCTCCGTGCTGTGAGCTTAGGTTATCGATGGGCTACATATGTGTTTGGTGACAGAACTGTACTTGCAGATACTAAGTCCCACCTTCCCTGCCTCCCTCCACTCCGTATAGGGATCGAACTCAGGGTGCTCTGCACTGAGGTGCACCCAGTCCTTTCTGTGTCTTAGGACAGGGTCTCCCCAACTTGCCCAGGCTGGCCTTGGACTTGTGATCCTCCCGCCTCAGCTTCCTGCGGAGGTGGGATTGCAGGTGTGCGCCCTGCACCCAGCCTGAACCCTACAGCCTAATCCTTCATATACATACTGAGTATCTGGTGTGTAACAGGCACCGTTCCAAGCATCAGAAATATAACTAAAAAGAAAACAGTGCTGAATAAGAACGCGGGGCTGCTCACTCCGTTTGCCGTCTCCTAGGAAGAGTTGGGAGTGCTAGGGGATCCACGTGCCAGGTTTGGAGCGGTGCCTGGCATCCAGCAAGTGGTCAGTGAACGCCACCTGATTCCTGTGCTTCTCGGCGGCTCTGTGTGTTCGCGGACAGGTAATAAGAGCTGAAGAACAGATTTCTGGCCAGGTGCGCTGGTCCACCCGTGATCCAGCTACTCAGGAGGCTGAGGCAGCGGGAGCTCCTGGGCTCCTGGGCAACTAACCCAACAAGACTGTCTCAAAATAAAACTTGAGAAGGGCGGGGCGGGGGAGAAGGAGGGAAATAACCAGAGGATGCTAGACTTGGCTCAACTTCCTTCTGACCCGTGACACACAGAAATAAAGTCAGAAAAAGGTAAAACCAGCGCCCAAGGCTCTGTGACAGCCAGAGTCTGAGCCCTCTCTTAGCTAACTCCGGGCACGAGCCTGCACCCTGGAGACGCCAGAGGCAGACGGTTCTGGGTGGAACTGTGCACCCTAAAAGCCATTTGGCTACGAAGTTCCACGCGGACAGCAAAATAGAATTTGGCTTCCAGCTAGCAAGTGGCAAACGTCAGCCTTATTATGTAACAGGACTGGGAAAGGGATTTTGGTGCTGGAAAGACTGAGATTTTCTTTTTTTGAATCTGGCAGATTATTGTTAATATTTTGAGTGGTTTGGTTATTAAACAGAAAGCTGTCCACTTTTTTTAAAGTGGTACATTAGACTGATAGGGTTTTTAAAAATACATTGAACCATCTTTGCATTATGGGGATACTATCCAAAAGATCCTGCATTTTTTAATGATTGTTTCGTATTTGGGTTTTGCTTTGTTGTTTTTGTTCGTTGGTTGGGTTTTTTGAGACAGGGTCTCGCTATGCAGTTCAAGCTGGCCTTGAACTTGCAACGATCCTGCCTCAGCCTCCTAGGGTCTTGGGATAACGGGCCCCACTTAATTTTAAAATATACACAACATAAAATTCTTGGGGTTTTTTTGTCGTTTTGAGACAGGGTCTCTATGCAGTTCAGGCCGGCCTAAAGCTCACTCCGTAGCCCAGGCTGGTCTTGAACTCGGAGCGATCCTCCTGCCTCAGCCTCCTGAGGGCTGGGATTACAGGCGTGAGGCACCACACCCAGCTCACAACATAAAATTCATCGTTGCCATTTTTAAATGTGCAAGACTTGGTCTAAGTTACTTTCACCCAACCACGTCAGCACATGAGGAATTATTTTGTAAATACATCATTAGATGTGTTTGGCTAGGATTTTGTGTCTAAGATCATAAATGAGGTAAAACAAGCTCATAGTTTCATCTTCTGGATTTCTTGTCCAGTGATTTAAGATTTGAGATCCTACCAGCCTCGGAAAAGGCGGGAGCTTCTGCTCTTTTTAAGTGTGCTGGAACCAATCGTCTAAGACAGGAAGCGGGGGTCTCCTCCGATGTGGCTGGAATCACCCACAAACCGCGCGGCCTGGGGTCTGCCGTGGAGCACTCTGAGCGCCACCGAAGGGTGACTGCGTTTCCAGGTTCTGATCTCGATCTCTGCAGAGCCGGGGCTGGGTCCCAGGGTCTCGGGTACGCCTCGACAGTGCTCACCGCTGCGCTGCACCCTGGTCCTCGTCTGTGACTCTGCTTTGCCCCAAGTGCCCGCCTCTCCCGCCCGCTCACCTCTGATCCACCTCCTTCTGCAGCTCACGACTCCGCTCTTCCAACTGCTGCTGCAGCCGCTTCCTCTGCTGCTCCGGGGGCAAGTGGCTAAAGTCTTCCGTCACCACGGCCTGCCAGGCAGAAGAGGATGGAACGGGGCTTCCAGTCCTGCGTGCTCCCGAGACGTCAAAGCCCCTTTCTCCCTGGTGCAGGTCTCGGAGACAGGCCATGCATAAGGCAAAGCAGGATGGGTGGCCCAGCCGGCCGCAGGAAGCGAGCCCAGGGTCCCACCGCCCAGCCACTGGGCGCCTGTGACGGCCACCTCCTGCTTACTTACCCCACGGCCGGCTCGGAAGCTGCGCAAGGATGCTAGCCGCGGTTTGACCGACTTACTGATCTCACTCAGTATGGCCAAGGGGTCGCGGCCGGAGCGGGGGGACGGGGGTCCGTTAGGCAATACCGAGGGCAGGGGACCCCCCAGCGGGGGCAGGGAAGGGGGGTGCGGCTACCAGCGGGGGCCGGGTCGGGGGAGTGGGTCAGGGATGGAGATGAGAAGGTGCAGAAAACCAGGATGATGGATGGATGGGTGGACGTGAGGATGGACGGACGTAGGTAAAGGAAAAACAAAAATGGAGAAAGAAAGAAAAAAACGGTAAGAAAATCACAACTCAAGATGTCCAACCACACAGGGAAGACGCATGCCAGAGCGACACAGAACCTGGGCGGTGCAGGGGAACGCAGGCCTAGACTGTGAGCCGGGAGGGAGCCGGCTCCTGCCACGTGGCCCTCGTCCTCCAACCTCAGGCCCAGCGGCAAGACGG